TTTTTTTTTTTTGCTTAATTCGGCAGTTCGGATGAACTCAGTGATTTTTCTTGATTGATCGGGTGATCTCGTGTTTTTACTTTGTAATCCTGGCAGCTCTGTTGATTTCATCCGATTGTTTTTCCTGATGTTTGGCATTTACAGGTTATGGAGAAAGCTGTTAAATTATTGTCGAAATATTTTGTGCCTTATATAAATGGATGTTTGTTGACTTTTTATCCTTACGAGAAATGCTGTCGTCCTTTTTACCATACTGCCTATACGTTGGAGCAGTACGTGAGTCCTTCTTTAATTGTATTATCACTTCCGTCTCTTTTATATAAAATTCAAGGAAAGACTGCCGGCACATTTACCATTAGATGGATCCTTTAAAGTGCTTTCACTCAAATCACTAGGGCATCTCTGTTTTTCATAGAAAGTGAAATACGAGGAAATTTTAATTTTGATTTCGCATTATTTGAATATACTTCAGTTCAGTTCTATCAGGACTTAATGTCTTATGTTTAGTCTACTGGAACTTTTTAAAAAATTGTGACTTCCGATGTCCATAATTTTTTAAACATCTATAGGTTAGCCCAGAAAATTTACGGGGCCTTTTTTTGCCAATATTTCAAAAAAATCTCCAGAATATTTCAGATTTTTCTGCCTTTTTCAAAATTTCACAGTATTCCGAATATTTTTCCTGATTTTGGGGTTTCCTCTGTGACAGTGAAAAACCATATTGGAAGGCTTTCGTTTATAAATCAGACGGCCATTTGTTACAATCCATTGTTCAGCTTGGAAAACTGCTGCACTCTGAGCAAGTGATGATGGTAAAATTGCCATAAGTCATACTTATTTTCGAACTTATCGGAAGAAATAATCTGGCTTCTTTGGCTCGCCGTATATCAGCTCACCTTCAGCTTGATTTTAAGCAAATTTTGTAAAACGAATCCAACAAAAGCGTTGTGACGGGTAATTTGCCCTTTGGCTTGTGCTTCTAGCGCTATCGGCTGTCATGGACAGCGAATTTGTCTGATTAAATTACTGGTCTTCATGGACCCCTCAAGAATAGCGTAATTTTTTTAGGAAAAGCGATGTGGTGTTCAAATTAAGGACTTATGCAAGGATTGCCCGAGTTCATTTGTAATTGATAAGTTGCTGGAAGAATTCGAGCATATTGTCAATGGACATAATGGAATTTTGCCGGCTGATGCTGTGAATGGAAATGTGTTTGAAAATGAAAAAGTTACGGATGGCTACGAGGATTCGCTGCAGCAGGTAAAATTTAAAAGGAAAAATTAAGATGTCACTCGATCCCAGCCAGACTGCTCTGACCGTCGATGTAATACTATCAGATTCAGGGAGCTGTGCTCTGTCCTTCCGTCCGCAGCTGCATCTCTACAATTGATATACACCATCTCTAAAACATGCACGTTGTTTCTCCTTGGTGATCCCATAGTATCTCTGTGCAGTTTTCACCGACTAATGCGTGAAGTTTTGTTCCCTTTACGCTGATTGAGCAGTTTGCGTTCACTGTATTGACAGAAAATAAGTAGAGTTGATTTCATTGATGAGAAAAGATAACAAATACCATTATTTGATGATTACTTTTTTCTTTGTGTGAAATTACTTTTTTTTAATTTTTTTTAACGTGACGATTTTTCAGAAAACCTACATTTGTTAAAATTGAAGATGAAGAGCAATGAACATTTCAGGATAGTGTTTCGATTGCAACCGCAAATGAAGAGAGTGTAGTACAGGATCAGACGACAGTCACTGAGAACCGGGACCTTGATATTCCCACACAAGAACAACAACAGTCCGACGATATCCAAGAAAATAATTCAGTTCACTAGGTCTTGTAATGTCCATGCAAAAACTAAGCTAGCAGTGCAAAAAAAGTGCAGTTAATCTAAAATTAAAAATAGCAAAGTTGATGTTAAATGACTATAAAATATTTTCTAGCGGACAGTGAAGTACAATCGTGTAAAAGAATGCATTCCGAAACCCACAGTTCCCTGCACTAATTATCCGATCAGTCTTAATATCTCTTGTTATAAGGAATATGTATAAATATTCGAGGCCGTATACTCAGACAGACGCTACGGCAAATGCTTACCGAATATCTAATTTTTCATGTGCTTGGTCTTTCTCACTTGTCGGTTTAATATTTTTGTTGCTCGCAGTCTTCGTTTTCGTCCGTAATGATTTTGTGGCTCTTAACTGATGTTATCCTCACCCTTGAAAGTTTTTTATCTCTCTGATCCTGAAAATGTGCATACTGAACATATCGAACCCGATCACGCACGATTTTTGCTGTATAGGCCATAGTTTGGTACTAAAATCATCCAGGATATTGGTTTCAGTTCCCAGTCAGTGTGGATTTCGCCAGTTAGCTCATTTCTGGTGATACTATTTGTGCGTCCTTATTTGATAGCTGAATTAGCCACTGGTTCAACGTTGAATCATATTCCCAATGTTCTGCAGTGTTGTAACCGACAGTGATTTCTTCAGCTGTGGCTTAGGATTTTCCGTATCACAGCATTCCATACATTCGAGTTAACGGGGGTGAGGCTCCCGCTCTGGGCTATGAAAAAACTTGTAATACTGCTACTTAGAATTACTTCAGTTTTATTTATGAACAAATCCGAGCTTTTGTAGCACTGGTGCATGTGCCGCTGGGGAGAGGGAGAGGCGGAAGACTCTCTCCCCCTTCCCCTCCCGTGGGTCCGCCTATGGCTGCAATATTTCTCAATCTGAGGGGGAATTTTAAACTTTTTTCATTATTCGGTGATTCTGTTGTTTACTTGTTTTTTTTTTTTTTTTTTTTTTTA